TAATCTGAAACAACATATTATCTCTACAAAACACCAAACATTCCCTTATGGCTATGACTTCTGCAATCAAATTGGTGGTCTCCTGAATTTTGACCCCTTTAGCTGTAATTAAATTTTCTTCACGATCTCTTATACAAAAAGTAGCTGAAGTAAGCCCAGAATTGCCCTTAGAAGCACCATCAGTATTACCTTTAAGCCAATTTATGGGAGGAGAAACCCATTTCACCATTTTGAAGTTATAAACCATTCTATACCCTTCAGGATACTGCACAATTAGAGGCCAATTATTCAAGCCAAAATTATCCTTACATCTTAATTTAATGAAATTCAGAATATTTTAATTGATCTCCCAGATCACCTTTCCAATAGAATAAGATCCACCATGTATTATAGTATTTCTCCTCTTCCACAAAAACCACATTATAACTATAAGAATAGCTTGATAAACTAGCTTTATCCTGTAGTTACCATCAGTAGACCACCATCTTCTCATCATGTGTTTCACATTCTACATGGGCCCAATTATTCCAACTGCTCTGGAATAATAAGATCATATTTTGGTTGCAATCTCTCCTCTTAAAAACAAATGATCAATAGACTCATTCACAAGAATGTTACAACACCTGCAATTCTGAGAGATATTAGGATTCCAAGCATTCATTAAGTTAGCCACGAGAATTATACCTTGCCAAATCTTTTAGGCTAGAAATGAGAACTTGAAAGGTAAACCCATAAAGATTTCAAGTTTTCATTGATGTTCTCCTTTTTCCTTTGCAATTCCCAAACACTCTTAACATTGAAATATCCAGTACTAGATTTGGTCCACCAAGGTTTGTTTGCTAAATCTTCCAACTGTAGAAACCTCATAATGTGTCTGATATGATTCACTACATATTCAGGGACAACATCCTGAAGAGCATCAAAATCCCTGCCCTCTTTATTAAAAATGTCTCCTATATCTCTCATGGGGTGACATGTTGGGGTGTCTAACTGATGTAAGTGAAAAAGCCCAAGATTGGTCCAATTATCATACCAAATGGAAGAAGTTCCACCCCTAGGTTCCCAACACAAATGTTGTTCAATGACATCTCTATTTCAAGCATATGTTTCCATATTTGAGAGCCTCTTTTCCATTGTACAAGAGAAGAAATATGGTTCTTGCAATATTTGTTCCAAAAGAAGATTGACCACAAATTGTTTTGTGTCCTAAATTTCCACCACAATTTAGCATATAAGGCCTGAGAAACTTCAAATAATGATCTGAAACCAAGCCCTCCTTTCTGCTTTGGTAGACAAACTTTGATCCATTCAGCCCAATGTTTACTCCTACCAGATTCCTTATTACTTCAAAAGAACTTAGCGAAAATCTTATGTAATTCCTTGATCTCACATATCGGAGAAGTGATAGTAGATAATACATATATAGGGATGTTTTGCAAAACACTAGAAAGTAGAATGTTTTTACCACCATAGGATAACATCCTTCCGTTCTATGCCTGAAGTTTACCTTTAACTCTTTCAATCAGCTCTGCATAATGTTCCTTTCTCTTTTTTGTATGGGTGATAGGACACCCCAAATACTTCATATGAAAAGAACCCTTGTTCATTCCAACACACGGCTCCACTAAGATTGGAATTCCTGCTGCTGCATTTTGATGCAAATAAAAGAAACTTTTGTCTTTGTTCACCTTCTGATCAGATTGATGCTCATATTCATGTAATACATCTATTAATATTTCGGAAGAGTTTTCATTAGTTGATACAAATATAATAGTATCATCTGCATAAGCTAAATGATTTAACATTGTACTCCATTTAGGCAAATCATAGCCCACATAATGGGGATAATCAAATAAAGAATTAAGAGCTCTAGAAAGAATGTCATCTGCTAAAATAAATAAGGCCGAAGAGAGAGGATCTCCTTGCTTCACATCCCTTGTAGAATGAAAGAAACCGTATGATTGGCCATTAATAAGGATTGAGTAATAATTGTTAGCAGTAAGTCTCCGTATCATATCTACAAATCTTGAGCCAAAGCTCATCTTTCTCAAGACATTCATCAGAAAAAACCAAGACAATCTATCATATGTTTTGCCATGTCTAATTTAATGACAACATTAGCAGGCTTCCCTCTTTTAGTAATGTCAGTTACCAACTCTTGAGCTAGTAAAACATTTTCAATAATACTTCTACCTTTAATAAAGCCAGACTGATTTGAAGAAATCAGTTTTGGTAACATATCTTCCAGCCTATCATGAATAATCCTTGATAGGATCTTGTTAACAAAATTATTCAAACTAATAGGTCTCATATCAGAGAAGGTTTGTACATGTTCCTTCTTTGGTATGAGAATCAAATTAGTATGTGTAATGGATTTCTGAAGGGTATTGCCAGCAATAAAATCATGCACCATTTTTAGAATATCACCACTAACTATATCCTAGCACTCCTGAAAAAATCTACCAGTTAACCCAATCATGGTCGCTGGCACTGTCTGCACTTAGCTTAAAATTTGCATTTTTCACATATTCTAAACTTAGCTTCCTCAGAAACTGATTCAGAGAAGTGACACAATAAGGGAAAATTAGTAACATCACCTTCATGCTGAAAATGTCTATGGAAGTGCTCTATTGCTTCATTCGCAATAGCCTCTTTTTCTAACCAATCACCTTGTGAATTCTGAATTCTACTTACTCTCCCCTTCTGTTTTCTTCCTTTCACCCGACTGTGGAAGAATCTGGTATTCCTGTCCCCATTTACAAACCAATCATATCCAGCTTTTTGTTGCCAAAAGAGCTCTTCAAAATGCAGATATCTATTATATTCAGCTTTTGCTCTGTGCATGACAACTTTATTTTCACAAGAAGAGTCTTCTTCAAACAATTTTTCTTTAATTCTCAGAATCTCTTCTCTAATGATAAGTTGTTGAAAAATATCCCCATAAGTCCCTCTACTCCACATAGTTAATGCCTTTTTAATTTTCCTGATCTTTCTTTTAAAGTCTAAAAAAGGGTTAAATGAAATATGAGAATCCCATTTCAATCTAACCACTTCTTTAAAGGATTCATGCTCAGTTCAAAAATTCAAAAACCTAAAAGGTTTCTTTTATAGCATTGGAGCATGGCCTGAGCATGTTCTAGGCAAGTGATCAAAATCTCTAACTGAGCAAAAATATTCTGCATCTCTGCATTTACCAGTATTCTATTCAGTCTTTCAAAGATACAATCATCTACTGCTCGAACATTCCACCAAGTAAAAGTACTACCTTTAAATGGTACTTGTGAAAGATCACAAGATTCAATACATGTCTTGAAGTCATTTATATCTACAACATCTACTAGTACTCCACAATTTTCTCCTCTCCATTAAGAACCACATTGAAGTCACCACCTATAAACCAAGGTCTATCCATCCCAGTAGAATAGAATATAGCTCCTCCCATAGATTCAACCTCAGATTGCTATATACTATAGTTGCATAAAAGCTTAAAGCATTATATTGGTTTTTTATCAAAACAGTGAGCTGCTGATCCGAATTACTCATCACCGAAATATCAAAGCCATGGTTGATATATAAACCTATCTTTCCATTGTTATTATGAATCCCCAAGGGCATTCTTAATCTTCTTCTATACTTGTTAATGTGTCTAACTGCTTGAAAAGGCTCCAATAATGCAACAAAAGCAAATTTGTGATGATTATGTAAGATTTGCACCCTTTGAAAGGCATTTTGTGTCCTCACTGACCTTATATTTCAAATGAGTGCATTCAATTATCATTTTGCAAAAAGGGATATGACATGTCTCTTTGGTTGCACCCTTACTGGTTGTGCTGTATCTCCATGTCCCTGTTTGTTTACTTTCCTTGCTGACTTAGTAGCTTTAATAGCTCTTGGTGACAAATCTCCTTCATTTAAAAACAACTCGTCTGAATATAAATTTTCAGTCACCTTAACCTCCTCCAAGTCTTCCAAGTTTTTGTCTCCTAGCTTGTGAGTAATTATATCATGCAAAATTCTGTTTGGGGAATCTGTATTCACCATAACCACAAGGAGATTTGTAAGGTCTAGTCTTTGGTAAAAAACATCAAGGCTCGGAGATATGGTCTCAAAAAATTTATTCACACAACTTTGTTGAATTGACAACAGGTCAAAGATCTCTTCATACACCTTTGTTGAAATTTACAACCCGTCAAAAAATTCTCTTTCACATATTGAAATTGCTATATTGACTTAGGCATATTTTTCTTTTTCTATAAATTGAAAGGTTTTTGCTCATCTGTAAAACACATGAAAAATAAATAAAATCATATTAAAGAGGAAAGCGAGGTATACCATAGATTATAAAATAATAATTTGTGAAGGAAAAATAGAGTTTGAAGTGATGTTTTAGCAAGGTGGAAATCAAAAGTGGGTTATTTCTTTTGAGTACGTAGTAGTTACTTTGAATATTGTACTTGTGATTACACAATGTAAATTTTTTTTACTATAGTGATATCAGTTGCTCTTCTTGACCAGTGAGTTTTTCCTTATTCAAAAGTGTTTAATGTAAAATTCTTGGTATCATTATTTTTTCCATTTTATTTTCATTGAAAATATTATTGTGTTAGTCTGCTTTTTCCTAACACTAGACACATCCTAAGGGAGTACCACATTTCTTTTTGAGTCGCGATAAAATCACAAGACACTTAATGCTATTATCAGTTCAAACTCTTCTTAAATAAATCGTTATTACTTGACTTAATTAACGTCAATTATATCCATTATTGTCTTTATTTTTGAAAAAATATGTACGTACGTCATCATCTTCAACTTTATCTTTTGAGCTTATACACAAGGAAGATATTAATAATGGTCTTATATATGATGACATCCACTAGATCACTAAGAACATGAGTATCTGCACATGAAAGAGATACCATCCATAGAGGAGAAAAAGTCGAGACATAATTAAGATTTGAATTTGATCAACCTCCTATTCTGTACTTATTGCACTTAAGGAATTATGAACTTAAAATATTTATTGAAATTGTAATGATTTTTGCATTATATTGTGTCAAAATTGATGAGTTTATCAATAGAACTCATGCTACATCGCACCTCAGGAAGAAAATATCAATAACTTGTGAAATCGAACCCATTGACGGTGAATCCTCCATCAACTGCTATAACTTGCCCAGTGATGTATGATGCCCCAGGAAGACAGAGGTAAGCAACCAGGGATGACACTTCTTGTGCTTCTCCAGGGCGCATTAGCGGAGTTCTACTTATTATTCCATCCAATAATGTTTTATTTTTTATCACCTGCAAAACGAAACCATCAATCTCAGCAGCTAATACATGCATTATTTTTCTTAACACACTCTACCAAACGTATTTTAGTGTGACCTCCAATTTGCAGATATCCGTGCTAAAACGTTTGGTGATTGTATGAAATTGATAAGCAGGATTCAAGAATATTACATATTCCACAGAAGATGTCTTTATATACCACGGGGCAACACCATTAACACGAATGTTGTCTTTTGCCCACTCACAAGCCAAATCCCGGGTAAGCTGATTCATCGCCCCTGCAGTTAATCAACGAAAAGAAAAAAAATCTCACGAACTCCTTGGTATTCCATAATGAATTTAAGGAGCGGTAGTTACAAGAATGAAGGGAACCTTTTGTTGCTGCATAAATAGAACTAGTAGACAAGTGAACCAAACCAGCAACAGAAGAGATGAAGACAATAGATCCAACTTCAGATGCTTTCAGAAGAGGATGAGCAAGTTGACAAATATGGTATCCAGATTCAAAGTTTGTACCAAATAAATGTGCATATTCTTCAGCAGTGTAATCGATGGTGGGCTTCCTAATGTTTGTCCCTGCATTGTTTATCTATAATTGTAGAAATAAAGGATTAATACAAGATGATAAATCAGCAAATAGTTAGTTGATAGCTGTGTATAGATTAGTTAGTTAGAAGTTTGTTATTAAAGTTTCCAATTAGAAGATGACAAGTGGATAGTTAGTTAGTAACTAACTTTGTAAATACTCTGTATATAAGTGTATCCATGATTGTAAGGATACATCTCAGACGCGTGAACAATAAAGAATCTCAACGCAACACAATTGCTCTCTATTAGCTTTCTTCCCTTTCTTTCACAGAGCTCATCAATGGTGGCCTGAGTGCAGATTTTATCATGGTATCAGAGCATGGTGTCAGTGCGTTCCATAGCTGATGAGCTCCTTCATCGTCTTCTTAATTTTCCCTCTATTTTCCTTGAAATTCTTGTTCTTCTTTACTGATTATCCGATTCAAAGTTTTTTCAACAATGGGAGACAATTCGACATCTGCTAGTACTGGAATAACAGGTCCAAGAACAATTCCTCAATTGGACCACAATGACCCACTGTATATGCAACATTCAGATACACCAGGTACATCTCTCGTTCCTCAGTTGTTGACATGAACTGATAATTACTTAGAATGGAGTAGATCGATGTTGTTGTCTTTGTTAGTAAAGAATAAAGTAGGGTTCATTGATGGATCTTGCAAGAGAGAAATGTATCTGCAAGATGATTTCAAGTTACATCAGTGGGATAGGTGTAATGCGATTGTACAGTCATGGATCATGAGTTCTGTGACTCAAGAATTGAGGAAAGGCATTGTGTATTCTGAAAGTGCTCACAAGGTTTGGAAAGCATTTAAGGAAATATTTGATAAAGTAAATGCAACCAAAATCTTACAGCTTCATAAGGAGATCTGTATGATTGATCAAGGGATTCAAAACATCTCTGTTTACTTCTCCAAGTTAAATGATATGTGGGATGAACTTGAGTCTATAATCCCTTTTCCAGCATGTGATTGTGATAAGTCTAAGAATTTCACAGCTTATTTGCATCAACAGAAGTTTATGAAATTCTTGATGGGCCTGAATGAGACTTATGCTCCACAAAGAAGTCAAATTCTTATAGTGACACTTATTCCTACTTTAGATCAAGCATATTCTATGATGATTCAAGAAGAGATCCAAAGAGAAAGTAATGGACTCTTGGGTGTTTCACTGGTAGAAGGGACCCATAGCTCTCTAATTGTTGCAAATACCTCTAATACGAGGCCCAGAAGGAATCCAAACTCAGAATTAAAGTGTGATTACTGCAAGTTAAAGGGTCATACTAGAGAAACTTGTTACAAATTGATTGGCTATCCTCCAGGGTTCAAGTTTAACAATAATAGAAGGAAGACCTTTTATGATAAACCATCAGCACATAATGTGATGAATCAGGAAGAGTATATTTCAAGGAATGGTGATAGGGTTCACACGACTGGTGGTATGGGTTCTGTCTTCCAAGGTCTCAACAATGATCAGTACTTGCAGCTTGTACAAATGATGGAAGAGCTGAAGAAGAAGAATAAAGGGGAGGACAATAAAAATTCACCAGTAGATGTAGCCAATATGGCAGGTATGGTATCCACTAAATCGGACTATTGGATTATTGATTCTGGAGCCTAAAATCATATGACTTCTTCTTTGAGTTCACTGATCAATCCTATTCCTTCATCTAAACCTACTTATGTTCATCGTCCTACTAGGCATAGCATTGAGATTACACATACAGGGTCCTATAGTTTATTACCCTCTAAAACTCTTCACAATGTTTTGTGTATTCCTAAATTTAACACCAATTTATTGTCTGTAGCTAGGTATACAAGAGAACTTAATAGTTCAGTACATTTTTACCCTGATTTTTGTCTCTTTCAGGACCTCTCAAGTGGCAAGGTAAATGGGATTGGTAGACAAGAGGGTGGAATATACATCCTTAGTCCTTCAAAACCTGCTACAAGCTTCCCTTTCAAATGCATGACTACTGCAGTGTCTAATTCAGTGTCACATTTATGGCATCAAAGACTAGGCCATGCTCCCATTTTTGTTTTGAAAAAAATACATGTGATAACTAAGTTACTAGATGGTGTTGTCCATTGTCATTGTCCTGTTTGTCCCTTAGCTAGGCAAACTAGGTTGCCTTTTTCCTGTTAGTTTTTCTAATATTTTAGCTATGTTTGATCTTGTTCATGCTGACATTTGGGGGCCTTACAGGGTTCCCACTTATAATGGATTCAAGTATTTTCTTACTCTTGTTGATGATTTTTCGAGAATGACTTGGACTTTTTTACTAACGCTTAAAAGTGATATGTTTGTGCTGCTTAAAGATTTCATTCTTCTTGTTGAAACCCAGTTTTCTACCATAGTAAAAATCTTGAGATAAGACAATGGTACTGAGTTTTTTAACACTTCATGCACTAATTTCTTAAAAACTAGGGATTATTCACCAAAGTAGTTGTGTTCATACTCCACAACAAAATGGAGTTGTGGAGAGAAAACACAGGTATCTTCTAGAAGTAGCAAGGGCTATTAGGTTTTAGGCTAGTATACCTATCAAGTTCTGGGGTGACTGTATACTTACAACCACTTATATTATCAATAGGCTTCCTAGTACTGTTCTACATGACATTTCACCTTATGAAGTTTTTCATGGTACACTACCCATTCTGTCTCATTTGAGAACCCTTGGTTGCTTTTGTTATGCTACTGTTCCTGTTTTCCATGATAAATTTTCTTCCAAGGTTGTTCCAAGAGTCTTTTTGGGGTATTCTGTTGCTCAGAAAGGTTACAGGGTATATGACATTGCTGCAGAAAGGCTTATAGTTAGTAGAGATGTTACATTTCATGAGAATATATTTCCTTTCTCTTATCCTAAGTCACAGTTTCTTCCTGGTTCTAAGGCCTCTTCTACTACTTCTGTGCCAGATTCTCCACATGTACCTTCACTAGCCTTCATGATGAGCATCCTGACTGTTCTAATCCTTTTTCCTACTCACCTGTTATTTATTCCCATGATGCTACACCTCCTGTTCCTTTAAGAAAGTCCAATAGGTTTACTAAGCCTCCTATATGGCTCATTGATTATGTTCATCCTTCTTTGCGCTCTACTACTTCTTCTACTTCTGCTAGTTCTTGTTCTCTTTACCCTATCCAGTCATATCTTTCATATTCTTATCTTTCTTGTACATTCCAGGTTTTTCTTGCCTCATTTTCTTCTATATCTGAGCCTACTTCTTATTCCCAAGCCATTAAGTATCCTAGGTGGATTCAAGCTATGAAGCTTGAACTTGAGGCTTTAGATTATAATCATACTTGGGATGTGGTGGATTTGCCATCTGGGAAGGTTCTTATTGGTTCTAAATGGGTTTACAAGGTAAAGTATCATGCTGATGGGACTGTAGAAAGGTTTAAAGCAAGGTTAGTAGCTAAGGGGTATACTCAACAGGAAGGCATTGACTTTCATGATACTTTCTCCCCTGTAGCAAAAATGACCACAGTTAGAACTGTGATTGCATTGGCTGCCCTTAGGCATTTGCCTATCTTCCAAATGGATGTCCACAATGCATTCCTTAATGGTGATCTTTCTGAAGAGGTGTACATGACTTTGCCACAAGGTTTTAGTAGCCAAGGGGAGTCAAAGGTATGCAGGCTACTCAAATCCTTATATGGTCTGAAACAGGCTTCTAGACAGTGGAATCTAAAATTGACACAAGCTCTAACAAGTTCTGGATTCACACAGAGAAAGCATGATTATTCTTTTTTCACAAAAATAGCTAATAGCAAGCTAGTGTTGATTCTTGTTTATGTAGATGACTTGCTTATCACAGGGTCTGATCTACAAGAAATCAATAGAGCTAAGCTTGATTTGCATAAAAACTTCAAGATGAAGGACCTAGGAGAACTAAGGTATTTTTTGGGAATTGAACTTGCCAGGTCAAGTGAGGGAATTCTCTTATCACAAAGGAAGTATGCTCTGGAAATGATCTCAGAGACTGGTTTGAGTGGTTCAAAACCTAAGTGGACACCAATGGAGCAGAACATGAAACTAACCAGCAGTGAATATGATCTTAAATTCTCTACAAAATCTGAGGATGTTCCTTTGGAAGACAGGAGTATCTATCAGAGACTAGTGGAAAAGCTCTTGTATCTTACAATCACAAGGCCTGATATATCATATGTTGTTCAGTCCTTAAGTTAGTTTATGCATGCCCGAAAGGGTCTCATTATGAAGCTGCTTTGCATGTGGTGAAGTATATCAAGAATCAACCTGGGCTTGGTCTCTTAATGTCTAGTAAAGGGGATGAGAAGATAGAAGCATATTGTGACTCTGACTGGGCTTCTTGTCCTATGTCTAGAAGGTTTGTCTCTGGTTTTTGTATCAAATTGGGAACATCTCTCATCTCTTGGAAAGCTAAGAAACAAACACTATCTCTAGAAGTTCTGCTGAGGCAGAATATAGGTGCATGGCTCAAACAGTTGTTGAATTGACTTAGTTAAAAGGTATATATGTTACAAGAGTTGCAGGTGGAGGTGCAATTACCAATTGATCTATATTGTGATAATAAAGTTGTATTACAGATAGCAGCCAATTCCATGTATCATGAAAGAACAAAACACATTGAGATTGACTGCCATTTTATAAGGGAAAAATTGCTGGAAGGTTTGGTGAGAACTAACTATATTGCAAGCAAGGAACAACCAACAAATGCGTTTACCAAAACTTTGGGTCGTCAACAACATGCTGCATTACTAGTCAAGTTAGGAATGAAAAACATTTTCCATTCTCAACTTGAGGAGGAATGTAGAAATAAAGGATTAATACAAGATGATAAATCAGCAAATAGTTAGTTGATAGTTGTGTATAGTTAGTTAGAAGTTTGTTATTAAGTTTCCAATTAGAAGATGACAAGTGGATAGTTAGTCAGTAACTAACTTTGTAAATACTCTGTATATAAGTGTATCCATGATTGTAAGAATACATCTCAGACGCGTGAATAATAAAGAATCTCAATGCAACACAATTGCTCTCTATTAGCTTTCTTCCCTTTCTTTCACAGAGCTCATCAATGGTGTATGATTTAATTTCGTAAAACATACATGTTCAATAGCTCAACAAATAACTTCGAGGAATGACAACATTGCAGGTTTTCTTAATTAGCAATTTAGCATATATGTTCCAACGCTTAAATATTACTCCCTCTGCTCCATATTAAGTGAGTTGTTTGTGTATTACACACTCCTTGAGAAAAAATATTTTAGGATAATTTTTTATTTTATTTTATTATCGTCTTTTTGATTATTTCCAAATTAGCTAGTCTCCTATAAAATGTAAAGTAGTTAAGAATCCCTTTAAATGAAGGACTATGAAAAAAAAGTTTTAATTATTCTCTTGAACTTTGAACAATTTATTTATTTTGGATTAAGAAAAAACCCTCAACAATTCATTTAATATAAATTAGAGAGAGTATAATGTTACTCTCTCCGCCTCATATTAGTTGATCATCTTACTAAAAATAATTGTTCCATATTGGTTGTTCACCTTACTAAATCAAGAAAATATTAATTAAAATTTTCCTATATTACCGTTGCAATTAATCTTTTCAAAAATGTTCACATTTGTTTGTAAAATTCTCAAAAAGAAATTTAAGGGGCGAGTTAGTAAAATTATCTTTTTATTTATGATTTCTTAATATACGTGTAATATACTATTTCGGTGTGAGTTGTGAAATAGAATCTTTAGAATTGAGAAATCTTAATAGCTCAAATTAATCTCCTTCCTATTTCTATATTGAAAAAAAAAAAAGAATTTAAAAATAAATAAATTAAAACTACATAAAAAGTACATTCTATGTTCCAATGTTCGAGAATAATGTAAATTTTTTTAATAATTAAAAGCAACTTAACTTTTTTTTTTTTAATCTCTAATTAGATAATTTATAATTATACAAATATCTAAGGTGTATTTTAGACCATAATTTTTAAAAAAAATATATTTTTAAATTTTTTGAATCTAATTAAACGATAAAAAAAAGTATTATAAATTATAATAATTAACTATTTAGTTTTTTTAAGACTCATCATTAAAAAAAATTGGTGTTATATATATATATATATATATACTGATTTTCTAAATTGTGTCGCATGATAAAGTGGGACAGAGAAATTACTTACTGAGGGTAGTTTGGTCAGGAGTAAGTTATTTGGGAAATAATTATTATTTCAGGATAAATTATTTCTTAATATATGTGATCATTTATTCCATTATTAAAGTATAAATGGTGGGATTGAGATAAATAATCACATGAATTTCTAATACCTCCAACCAAACGTATGATAAAATAATTTTATATTTTATCATCAGAGACGTATCCATGATTTCGGCAAGATAGGTGCATGATTACAAAAAAATGCATTTAGGTTCTTAATATGAACCATTAAATTTTAAAAATTATAGTTCCAAAATATATAATACTACTAGTTTTAAATTTTAATATACACATTTGATTTAATTATATAAAGATTTTACAGTGCTAAAACTTTTAGGAACTTTCAATGTAACACACTTAAGAAATTTGAAAGATTAAAGGAAAAAATAAAAGAAAAATTAGTTAAAACGTCAAAAGTGTAACCGATAACCACTTGGGGAGATGTTACTCAAAAAAGGACAAGATAGATATAAGACTTAAATTTTTATCCTCACTTAGAGAGGGTGCACCCAATCATCATCGTATTATTATTTGATACTTTAAACGTGAGTTCACACATTTATATTTAAATATTTTTTAAAAAATATAACACTATTATATATGATCTAGAGAAGGAAGCATGTGTTCACGTGAATCCACAGCACCCCTTCTAGATACGCCCCTGAAAATTATTATACCTTATATATATCTCACTCCAAATGACTCCTACCGGTATATATTTGGGGCCCGCCCCTGCCTAGGGGAAAGGTTACAGAGGTCATTTGACCAATATATACCTACCAACAGTAGCGGAGCTAATGCTTAAGTTACAGGTTAGATCAAGTGCAATAATTTTGTTTTTCGAATACAATATTTATATTTTAAAATTCATTGAATATTTATGAAGAATAAATTTAAAATTCAATAACTTTAACGAATTAGAGCTTTAAATCACGACTTGACCTCTGATAGATAGGAGTTATAGAACTTACAAGAATGCTCAACTTTCCATGGAAAGCTGAGGAGACATTTTCGATGAGCTTCACTCTTTGAGGCGTTGAAGATACATCACATACACAACCATTCACTTTAAGGCCTTTCACAGACCACTCTTGCAAGCATTTGTTAAGCGCTTCTTCATTACGTGAACATGTGTAGACTGTTGCACCCAGCTCCGCTAGTTCCTCCACAACAGCGTGCCTGAAACGAATTACATCGTTCAAATCTAACTATGAAAGATATTAAATCGGATGAAGTTGGTTTACCCAATTCCACGAGTGCCTCCGGTGACGAGAGCGGTCATCCCTGAAAGACTCCATCTGGAACTGCTTCTAAACATTGACTTGTGTAATATGTATAGTACTATCTATATGGAGCAAGAAATTAGAAGTGTGTTCCTTATATGGTTAAATATTTAGTTTAGTTGCCTTCTTTAAATAGAGAGTTGCAACAACCTAACCCCTAGTACTAAATGTTATGATGTTTAAATTAAATTTGTCTGACCTGCCAGGGAAATTGGTTCCACTGTCCTCACGAAAGTAGGTGAAAGTAGTTAGTATTTCTATAAATAGTCATTCTCCAAACTTAATTGAACATTTAGACAAAAATCTTAAAAAATTAGTACTTTAGACATCATATATGACATCACTCAATATTCTTCCAAAACATACAGCCTACTCTCAAATTTTTGATACTACACTTTAGTCCCCACTCATCCAACACAAATGTGGAATTGTTTTTTATTTTTCCATTTATTAAAAAATTTGACCGGAGAAAAGCTCTCCAAGAAGAAACCAAAATGCTCCCATTTTTGCAGCTGATTTAGCTGATTCCGGCGACTTTTCCGACGATATTTTAGCTTTCACAAGTGAAATCATCATCGTTCTAGTCATTGCTTCCATTTTTACACCATTTTCTTTCAAATAGCTTCAAAGAAAAATATTTCCCACCATTCTTGAAGCTTGCAAAAATCTTTCAAAATCACTTCATAACTCGTTTTTAGATAAACTTTAGTTGTTTAGAAGGACTATAGATACATGTTCTCCATTTCGAGCTTGATTTGAACCCATTCTTGTTCATTCGCGTTTTGTACGAATTTCGTACCAGTCATCGACCGCTAGTTATCGATATCGTAATCTAGTATCTATCAGTGTAGTCTATATATGACAATAGCTGAATTTATTGTTACTGGTGGTGACTATATGGGAGTATGAGATGAGACTCTCAAAAGCTGGTATGAGAAATCTTTTAGTAAGACTATAGTTCTCATTGCGTTGCGTCGCAATGGTTCATATGACGATATGATTGCAAACGTAATTGAGGCCGGTGAGCTAGCCTGCGAGCCAAGCAACTTGGTGAAAAGCTATCAAATGAATGGGAGGGGAAAAATACATCCCACATTCATAAAGAATGATAGGCATGTGAGCTTGTACACGATGGATATTGCTGCTGATGGCTCTAGGCCTATATTGAGGATAAATGTCATTGCGAGATCTTCAATTGAACCAACGAATTCTTTTAACAACAACGACTCAGTTGAAAATGAGAACTTGGGTGATCAACTAAATGAGAGCTTTTGTGATCAATCAAATGACAACTTGGGTGATGATTCAATGAATGGGCATGATCATTCATTAGATGTTGAAGATAAGCCAGTAGCTGCGGAAGATTTCGAATATTTTGAAGAAGATCAGGGAGAGTCGAAATTGAGATCACAACCAAGCCATTCTTTCTCTGATGGAACTAATTTTTACATGTATCAAACATTCAGTACCAACAGTGAGCTACAATTGTTATTAGATGAAGCAGCGGCGAGAAAATCTTTTGATTTTGCTATAGTGAAGAGTTGTAGTAAATACTTAAAGGTGAAATGTGTGTCTTGTGTTTGTGCGTGGATGCTGCGGGCAAAGAAATATGAGTGTTTGAATAGATTTCGTATCTACAAGTATATTGGCGATCACAGTTGCGGTGTTGAACATGCCATCAACAACCATAGAAAATTCTTGACCAAAGTCATTGCATTACTTTGTGTGAATCTTTATCTCGATGGCAAGGGTCCAAATGTTAAAGAGATTCAGAGGACTATTTTTGATATTTTTCATTGTAGTCCAAGCTATTGGAAATGTTGGAAGGGAGGTGTGACTGCCAAGGAAATGGTTCGAGGGATAGCGGAACACGAATATTCATGCTTACTGACCTTTTCATATATGTTCGACACTCTTAATGTTGGTTCTAGCTATTGTATCGTGTGGTAAGCGGGGATACTCATAGATTTATGTATTACTTCTTAGCTTTTGGTGCTTGCATTAGGGGATTTTCCCACATGAGAAAGGTAGTTGCAGTCGACGACACTCATTTACATGGTAAATACGAGGGAGTATTGTTGCACAAGATACAGAGAATCATGTTTATCCAATTGCCTTTTGTGTCGTAGACAAAGAGAACGATGCATCTTGGACGTTCTTCTTTGAAAAGTTGAAGGATATTGTGGTTGATGAATTAGATTTATGTTTTATTTCTACACAAGAGCATTGCCAATTGTATTGCAAAGGTTTACAATCATGCTCATCACGGATATTGCATGAGGCACCTCGATGAAAATCTTTGGGTAAATCACCAATGTGGAGATTTCCTCTATCTATACTACAACGCGGCAAAGACATATTCTTTGGAGGAGTTCAACGATCATTTTTTGGAATTCAAGGACAAATCCCCTGAGGAAGCCTTTGTCCTTGAGAATGTTATTGATTTTGAAAAGTGTAGAAGAGCACATTTACCAGGCAACATGTATGATGTGATGACCACAAATATTGCCAAGTCACTCAAAGCTATGTTGATAGACGAGAGAGAGTACCCCGTGACATCCATATTTAATTCGATTGCTAAGAGATTTGGAGAATTGTTTAGGGAGAGGCATGCATATGTCCTTAAATCAAAGGGTAATAAAATGGTCCCGATTGCCGAAAGGATCGTAAGAAAAAAAATGATCGAGGGCAACTCCTTGTACGTAGAAAACATAACTGGGGATGAAAATCAATTCACCGTGTCCGGCGCAGGTTCTACTTCCACTGTTAACCTACTAAAAAAGTCATGTTCTTGTAGGGAATATGACTTGGTCAAGATACCGTGCGCTCATGCAATGGCTACTTTGAGATCGAAGCATGGAGATGAGTATGGTATGATCATCTGTGAATATTCTTCGTCTTTATATAAAGCTGAAACATACCTCCTTGCATACTCTGAATCTATTAATGTGTTCCCTATCGAATCGGAATGGTGTGTGCCAACATACTTCCACCCCTTGTCGATACCAACCTTGGAAGGAAGAAAAGAAAACGTGTCAAGGGTGTCAGTGAGAATTTCAAAAGCAAGAGGAGGAACAAATGTTCAATTTGTAAGAGATCCGGACACAGGAGAACCACATGTATGAACAACAATAAATCTTAGATAGATTTGACTAATTATATTTTTGTAACTAAGCTACTGGATGTGAAGGTGTTGTTTATTTTGGACCCCAATATTTTGGTCAATGTAATGTCAATTATTATCGAATTTACTCATGATCTAGATGACATACATTTAGTACACTGTCTATTAATATTTATTATTGAGTCCACTCGTTGTGTATTAAGGTGTGTATAATTAATATATGGAAATTTATGGTAATGCAATGATTTTAATGTATGCATTAGAATGTAGTTTTTCCCAAAATATTTATTTTTATATTTTTTCCCCACTAAAACTGTGAATTTTTCTCATGCATGTTGTTTTTAATGCCCAAAATAAAAAAATGCATAATAAATAACCTATGCATAACTAATCAAACATATAACTAATACAAGTAAGACTTAGATATACACTTCACCAAATGACACGTTAAAGAATTGTCAAAAAATCAGACGTTGACATCGAAAAAGTAGTAATTTGTACTTTGTTACCGTTGTAAAATTTGGATAATTGAGTATTGTCATTGTTGGTCAAAATATATAGATAATTAAGACAGTCGATACTTGTTCATGTGCTTGATTTATATTGTAACAACGACATCTACACTTCAACACTACTAAGGTATATATGGGTTGATATCATGATCCAAAAATGATCTATACTGCACCTACTAGAATATGACGCTAAATATAGACCGTAGCTAGTATAATTTAAAAGGGAGAATGATTAACTAATAATAAACTATATTATTAAAATTTATTCAATTAAATAAGTTTAAACAAGTCATTTAAGGGTTCACATACATTGGGGGTGGAGATAAATGATGTATGAGAAAGAGTTGTAGTTATACAATCAACATCTTCAATGTAATGTGTGAGCAAACACAAGTATGTTGAGAGAATGTTGATTGTTCAACCCCAAATCTTCCAAAACATCATGTAAGGTTCCATACAAATTGAGGGTGGTGATCAATAATGTATGGGTGGTGATCAATAAATCATTGTGGTTGAACAATCAACATTCTCTCAACATACTTGTGCTTTCGTAATGAAGATGTTAGATGTTGATTGTATAACTACAACTCTTTCTCATATATCATTTATCTCCATCCCCAATGTATGTGGACCCTTAAATGACTTATTTAAACTTATTAAATGAAAAAATTTCAATAATATAGTTTATTATTAGTTAATCATTCTCCCTTTTAAATTATACTAGCTACGGTCTATAATTAAGCGTCATATTCTAGTAGGTGCAGTATAGATCATTTTTGGATCATGATATCAACCCGTATATACCTTATTAGTGTTGAAGTGTAGATGTCATTGTTACAATATAAATCAAACACATGAACAAATATCGACTGTCTTAATTATCTATATATATTGACCAACAATGACAATACTCAATTATCCAAGTTTTACAACGGTAGCAAAGTACAAATTGCTACTTTTTCAACGATAACATTTGCTTTTTTTAGTGTATAAAAAGAAGGATTCATGAACTCCTCCATCTTATTCTATTTTAAAATACTTAAACATCTCTTTTAATTATGTCTCAAGCTTCTCAAACATCCAATGCAAAAAAGTCTTACTTTTGTCATTGTGGTAATTCAGCTACGTTGAGGACTTCACACACCGATACGAACCCAGATCGATAATTCTTTAACTGTGCAATTAGTGCATGCTCTTTTTTTAAGTGGCTTGAAAATGATTCATCAACGAGTAGCCCATCAAAATTGAGTCTGAGACTCGAGACATCAAAATTTCTAGGCGTTATCAAATTTCAGATATTAGAAAGGTTTCGAACTTCGAAGAAAATAGGAATTTTCTATTGCTTTATTCAAAGAAGTCGAAGAGCAGAGAAATCACTTTAAAGGATTGCTAAAATACACCGAAATAGATAGGGATCAACTAAAACAAAGGTTGATATTGGCTGAAGAAAAAGAGAAAGACCTAAAAATAATATTGTATGATTTGTTGTTAATGATTGTTTTTGGAAATGTGTAACATGGATGCAGTAGTATATTCTTATATCTTTTACTCATGTAGTATTACAGTCTATTAATAAAATGAAGTCTTTCTTGTATGGTAAGACAATGCATTATATATACAATTTAAAGTTGATAACTGGCAACAATATCCATCAAAACAAAAATAACATTTACATAATCCAATTGTCTTAAAAGGCACTTCAAAAACCAACTACTTCAACAACTAATTGTCTTAATATTCAACCACCAAAAATTAATTATCTAAAAAATCAACTGTCTTAATAGTCAACCACCAAAAACCAACCATTTAAAAAACCAATTGTCTTAATCATCAACCACCAAAAACCAACAATTTCAAAAACCAATGTCTTAAAACCCACTACAAATTGTCTTAAAAAATCAATATCTTACTCATCACCATTGAGCTCACCATTGATCTCCATAACAATATCCATCACGTCCACTGAAATTTCTTCTTCTACCTGCTTCTCCTCTTTTTTTTCTTGATCTTCTTCCTGCTTCTCCTCTTCTTTTTCTTCTTCTTTCTTCTTCTTTCTTCTCTTCGATCTCCTCTTCTTTGTTTTCTTCTTCTTTCTTCTCTTATTTTTCTTCCATCTTCTCCTCCTCTTGTTCTTTCTCTCCTTCTTTCATCTCTTGTACAACGTCATTAACTTCTTCTGCAAAGTACTCATCAACTGCAACAAGATCTTCATCGATTATTGCTAATGGAAGGGTTTCATCAACATCAACTGTAGCACCATCATTATCAACTGTTGGTGTTGTATAGTCTTTATCAATCGCTGCAAGATCAGTGGCTTAACATTCTTACAAATAAATTATTTTACACAAATAGTATCTAAATTAGTCTACCTTCATTTTTCTTGTTCTTTTGAGATCTCCTCAATTTATCATCTAGTATAAAAGCAACAACTTCCATCATTGATAGTTGAAGGGATGCAATACGCTCACACAAATTATCATATTTATTTTTCTGTCCACTCGAAACAAAATTCTCACAAGGTTGGTCGAAATTGTCTCACCCAATATTTCATCCTCATTGTTCTCTTTTGCAGAAGTGAGGATGATGACATCTTTCAAATTGGCTTTTAAGACATCAATGATTGTGTCCTTCACTTCGTCCGTATGGCTTTAATGTTGCCATATAATTTTGTTTTGTCTTACGGACAGTAGGTATGAGGTATGGATGCACAATCTACAAAAAAAATAAAAATAGTACAAGTCCTTCACTAATTTACAAATATTGCTAGATAATAATAAATAAATTTATACCTTTGTACTTCTCCCTTTGTACTTAAATGGATCACCTTCGACAATATTATCACTCTTTGTCATGTGCCATCTAAGTAAACAGGGAATGGGCAGAGGAGAATCCAAGGACTTCTTTGCATACTTACCAAGATGAGGAAAAACCTTATATATCAAAATCTGAAATTAATAAAATAACAAATAAATAAACAGAGACTATGAAATACTATATAAATATATAAGAGTTTATTATAAATCAAGTACATAATTGATAATAAGTACTAGAAATGCCCAGGGAAGCCATACAAAGCATACGATGCATTCCCTCTTTCATTATACACTTCACTTTACTTCTTCAAATTAATTTTGTTCTTCAAATACTTCACTGTTAAATCAAAACACTCTTTCCCCCACGGATAACTCTTGAAAAAATCTAAATCATCGACCATCTTAATGTAGTTTGAATCCACAATCTTATATCGATCGTGGGCAAGCAACATCGAGTGGACGAACCAAACTATAGAGCACTTCAACTTCTGCTCCTTATTCAATCTAGTACCCTTAATCAAACTCATCAACTTTGTAGGACTGATATTCTTATTCTTGGTCACTTTATAATAAAATTTCTCACATTTCTGAAGTACTTTTGTCAGTTTTGCATCACAGGGGTATGCTGAGTAATTCAGTCCCGTAATCAATGCAAACTCTTTTAAGCCAAAACAAGCAGGCTTATCATTCACACAGAACCACATCTCATGCAATTTTTATCATTTTTCACACGTCGCAACAACATATAATGGATCATCTGTCCAATAAACTTGTAATATTCTGGAATATACCTTAAATGTCCAAAACAAGTACCTTTAAAGTCATTATAAATTTTTTGTTGAACTAAAATATTTCTAAAATCATGATAAAGAGTCATTCTTGCTCTCACAAAATTTTTCGCTGGAAACGATCCTAACTCATCCATCCATGTCGTTAGATTATAAGACTTACCAGAGATTTCTCTTGCACAAATTGACAAGGACAGGGGATCATCATCCTCATCTCCAATATCTCGGCTATCTCTACTACTCTTCTCATCTCCACTGTCAATTCTTTCTTCACTAGATTCAGCATCATCACTAGCTTGGGCACTACTGTCCTCATAGTTGTCAATCTCAACCATTGTATCAGAATCCGAGTTAGACTTAGGTTCTTCAACTATAATTTTTTTCTTTTTTGAAGATCTTGAAACTTCTTCAGCCTTTCTTTTCTTGTTTTTAGAAGGCTTAGGAACAGAACCTTTAACGATGCTGCCTCTAGTTTTAGCTATACTGTATTATATACAAAAACATAATTTTCATATCAAAATATCGACCACTAGTCTATTAATACAAACAGAGTAATGCTAAAAAATATATGAAAAAAGTACCAGTTCCAACAAAAATCGACAATGCCATTGACATACACACCATTAAAGTCGACCAAAATACAGTAAAAACTTTCAAATCGATAGGCCAGATAAACATAAAAAATCAAAATTTTGATAAACATAAAAAATAAAAAATTTCTATGCATGATCCAAAGTAAAACGTCAGTAATGATTATGAATAAAAAGCATGAACTAAAACATGTGAGATTTTCAGAACTTTAAGCAAACATCTAAACGTCGCTACACTATTGCAATAAGAAAAATAAATAGGCTAAAAGCTATTGAAAACACGATTAAACTTACTTCAAACGAAGAAGATTGAAAAAGATCCAACTGAACTTGGGAAGAAGATTGAAAAAGATTCAACTGAACTTGAGAATAAGATTGATGAAAAATAGACAAACTCCACTTCGTTTTTCAGGAATGATTATAGGATCTCTTTTTTCTTTGTGTTTTCAATAATGGAATATGGAAGACTTGTGTCGGAGAATGATCAGTTTTATGAAGGTTGATGATTTCAGGAAAAAAGGTTTATGGAAGACGAAGAGTTCTCTAATAACGTGTTCTGAGGTTTCCTTGGAGAATGTTAACCTATTTTATTAAATAATTTTTATATTCCTTGCGATTGCAATATAATTATTTGGAGGGATGAATTTATTTAATGTTGAAGTGTTGGGATGAAAATGTTATTTTATATACTTGTTTTTTAATTTCCCAAGTTCTTAAAGTGATGAAAAGGCCCATGACCCCACAACCTAGCCCCTCTTTTTTACTTTTTCTAACCCTAACCCTAAAAATTAAATAAAAAAAAATTTAGTGGCTATTGTGCAAATTAAAATTTGGGGGTGTCCCCCATGCCAATTAATCTCCAGTGTGTCACATCCCGCCACTTCACAGTTCAAATTTGACACCGGAAAAAGGGAGAAAAATCTAGAGTTGTAGGGAGGTTAGTAGAACACTCTAGAATTTCCTAGACCTTTCCTTAGAATACTCTATAATAACTTAGAAGATGTCTTAGAAAGCCTTAGAATTCTCTAGACTAGTAGAGAATTCTAGAACATGGACCAAAGTGTAATTATTAGAGGGACTTGTAAAGTAAATTTTATTTACACTTTAGCCCCTAGGTTGTAGTATAAATAGATGGGGCATTCATTTGTAAGACATCCAAGCTTGAAGCAAGCAATCAAGCAAGTTGTAAAGCATTCTCCAAGCAATACAAAGTCTTCTTCCAAATCTTTCTTTACATTCTCTTAGCGATCTAGCTTCAAAGGGCTTACTTGAGCTTACAAGATCGTGAAAGATTCGTGAGTAAGTTGTCAAGTGCCGCACAGAACATTAGTGAAACTCTAAGTCCGTGACAACGTGGTATCAGAGTAAAAGTTTGTACTAAGGGAATGACTAACGAAGGAGACGTTAACGCCGCTAGCACCATCAACGTCAGGCTGGAAGGTGGAAAGAAGAATCGCAAGGGAAAGAAGCACCAAAAGAGTAATAAGGAAATGCTTCTCGACCCCACACCAAGCGAGGCGCTAACATCTCAACCACCTTTGACCACCGAAGCAAGTGACGATGAACTTGGCGAGGAGGCCATTGACGTCACCGCCAGAGAGGAATGGGTCGTAAGGGTTGAAATGGCAAGGCAAGATGTGGAGATATTAGGCCTGCGTTTGAACGTAGCTGATGGCAAGTTTAAAACTCTTGAGGACTTCACTCTTGAAGAGACTGACAACCTCCACAAGGAGTTGGATCAGGGACTCCAGCGTGCTGAGTTCGAGATGAAAGAGGCTATCACTTCCTTGGAGTGTCGGCTCATGAAGGCGTTGAGCACGACCATGAAGGCCGAGATGAGATAGGGAGGCCAAGGTCGAGGCTCCCAAGCCACCTATGTTCAAAGGTGTCCGTGACGCACAAGAGGTGGAGAATTTCTTGTGGCACTTAAAGAATTACTTCAACTGTAACCGAGTGAAGAGCGACGAAAACAAGATCAACACCGCTATGTTGTACCTCTCAGAGATGGCCATGCTATGGTGGAAGCGCAAAGTGTCCAAAATAGGGAAGGGGTCGTGCACCATTAACACTTGGGAGCAATTCCGAGATGAGTTCAAGAAAGCCTTCTTCCCTAACAATGTCATCTATGAGGCGAAGTGCAAGTTTAGGGAGTTGAAGCAGACATGCAACATTCAGGCGTACGTGAAGGAGTTCACCACCCTCACACTTCAAATTCCTAACCTCATGCATGATGATATGTTGTTCCACTTCATGGATGGGCTGCAAAATTGGGCCAGGACGGAGTTGGAACGCCGACAGGTCAGGACTATCGATGAAGCCATCACGCAGGCCAAAGCCTTGACAGACTTCAGGCATTAAAAGCCCGACAGAGACAGATGGGAGGAGGTGAGAGGTAGTCATGACCATGGTGGGGAGATCGTGGAAAAGTCGAGGAGCAGTGGCCACATCCCAAGAATCATGATACAAGTCTGATTTGCAGGCCGAAGTATTTACAGACTTCAGGCATGAAAAGCCTGACAGAGCCAGATGAAAGGAAGTGAGAGGTAGTCATGACCATGGTGGGGAGATCGTGGAAAAGTCGAGGAGCAGTGGCCACATCCCAAGAATCATGATACAAGTCTGATTGTAAGAAGTTTGGACGTCAAAGCAATGTGGAGAAAAAGACTGAGCCTACAAAAAGGAACGGTTGCTATATATCCATTGGTTCGCACGACAATGCGAGGTGCTCTAAACTGAAGAGCCTTGGTGCTATCCTGCGAGAACGGAAGGAGAAGCATGCACATGACCAATGACAAGGTGCAGAGACGATGCAGTTGGGATTGATAGGATTATGCTGAGCCATCACGAAGCAGCCAGGGAAGCCGAGAGAATACGGCGCGCAATATGTCGACATCACAATCAATGGAAGACCCACTCATGCTATGGTTGACACGGGTGAAGAGGCCAACATCATGACCAAGACGGCAACAATAAGGTTGAGGCTGAGTTACAGTCCAAGTAACGCTCAACTCAGGACGGTCAATGCACCACCGACTCCCGTGAGCGGAGTCGCGCATGGAGTAAGCATCACGCTAGGCGAGTGGCAAGGTAAGACCTAATTTTACTGTCGCTCCTTTAGACCTCTTCGATATCATTCTAGGGCAGGAGTTCTTCCAAAAGTGTCACGCGGTGATAGACCCTTACCTCCACCGACTTCTAGTCATGGAGCAAGGAGGATCATGTATGGTGCTCCTGGTTAAGTATCGAAGACGGAAGAACAAGTCCGTCTAACAGCCATGCAGCTCGTAAGAGGCCCTAAGAAGAAGGAGTCAGCGTTCATAGACACCATTGCAAGTTTAAAAGAAGACAATGGTGCAAAAAGGTCCTTGCCACATTGCACGAAGAAGGTTCTAAAGGAGAACAATGTCGTGATGCCAAAGAAACTGCCAAGGCGCTTGCCTCTTAGGAAGGAGGAAGATCATAAGGCCAAGCTAGAAAAGATAAGGAAGCAACTGAAAGAGTTGCACGAGGGCCTTGATCGAGTTAATGGACTATTGTTCGCGCATGCGAGAAGACAAGATTCGATTGTTTATGCAGCAACAATGCGACGCGATCGTCGCATCAATAGGTGGGGGAGAGTGTCACGTCCTGCCACTTCACATTTAAAATTTGGCACCGGAAAAAGGGAGAAGAATCTAGAGTTGTGGGGAGGTTAGTAGAACACTCTAGACTTTTCTAGACCTTTCCTTAGAATACTCTAGAATAACTTAGAAGCTGTCTTAGAAAGCCTTAGAATTCTCTAGACTAGTAGAGAATTCTAGAACATGGACCAAAGTGTAATTATTAGAGGCACTTGTAAAGTAAATTTTATTTGCACTTTAACCCCTAGGTTGTAGTATAAATAGATGGGGCATTCATTTGTAAGACATCCAAGCTTGAAGCAAGCAATCAAGCAAGTTGTAAAGCATTCTCCAAGCAATACAAAGTCTTCTTCCAAATCTTTCTTTACATTCTCTTAGCGATCTAGCTTCAAAGGGCTTACTTGAGCTTACAAGATCGTGAAAGATTCGTGAGTAAGTTGTCAAGTGCCGCACAGAACATTAGTGAGACTCTAAGTCCGTGACAAGTGTCCGCCCAATTACCATTCTGGTATTCACTACAGTGAAATGGCTTCACCCTAATATATTTTGGATATTATGCCATCAGAATTCAATTATATGTTTGATGGTCAAGACATTAATGCAGAAATAGTCAAACAATAACCTCCACGATGTAGGAAAATTATGGCAGATTTGTTAAATTATTAAAAAAGAAAATGTTTCAACTTAAAGCTAGACAAAAGATGAAACGGTTACTCATGGCTAGACATGCCATTTGAATTCAATATTTCACTCAACCATTTTTGTGTACTTTATGACATAGATACTTTTTACCTTTTACTATAATATGAATTTTCACATCATATTATGAGTGTTATTCATATCGAACTCAAATGAGGCAGAAGCACACATTTCATTTGCAAAAATTTATGGCTCAAAGCTAGTAGTTGTTCGATGTCATGTCATCGACAGTATATTGATGTTTATGGCTAAAATAACTGAAAATTGTCTTATATTTTATCTTACCTCTTTCTTTTATTTTATTTTCATATGATTTCGAAGTAGTGTTAGTACTATTGCAACT